TGTATGTATGTGTGTATGCGTGTATTTGTGTATGTATGTATGTATGTATGCATGCATGCATGCATGCATGCATGCATGCATGCATGCATGTGTATATGTATGTATGTATGTATGTATGTATGTCTGTATGTATGTATGTATGTGTGTATGTACGGACACATGTACATACACATACATACACATACATACACATACATGCACATACAATACATACCTGCACATACATGCACACACATGTACACACACACATATGTATATATATATATATATATAGATACATATATATATACACATACGTATACACACGCATGCATATGTGCATACATACATACGTACATATATAACTACGTATGTACGTACACACATTTATAGACAGACATATGTACAAAATGCTTACACACATCATAGACAGACATATGTACAACATGCATACACACATACATGCCAGCTTTCTTGCTTGCCTTTATACAGGTGCATACATGCACATACATTCCCGTGCAAGCATGTCGCTCTGCAATGGTTATCCGCAAGCACACTTTCGTTGATATTCTGTTTATCCATGAAATTCTTTGTTTGGCACTTCTATTGTTGCTTTGATCGGAAAGGGGATTTGCCGGCTGACCATGCGGTAGTCACTCTCCATGTATGTCTATACTTGTTTGAGATTATTCCTTCACGGTTTCAGCATATTTCAGCATGTTCACTTGACTCAACGCTGCTTTTGCGTCTACCCGTGGGTGTGTACCTGTTTCCGTTTGTGCTTGTGTTGCATGTTGGTTCACCCTCTGAGAACCTTCAACTGCCAATGTGGTGCCCTACCCTTTGCCGTGCGTGTTCTTGTGGGGTTAGTGTGGTCTTTGGTGAGCATTGTGGCTTGGTGATTTCGACCTTCGTGGTGTCGCTTCGGTTCATGCGGATCTCGGCTTATTCAGTGCAAACATCTCCAGAAATCAGCTGGTTGCGGAGTCGGCGCTGACAATTTCTGAAGCTAGTAACTAGTGTGTCCGATACTTGCAGACTTTAGCCGATCCACTGACCTTGCGCCTGCGCAGATCCGGCCGAGGCATGAAACCTTCGACTCCCGATGATTCCGCAGCTGCACGAGCTGAGGCTCAGTGTGTTGTGTTTTTAGATTCTGCGGTTTTATTTTCAGTGCGTAGGAATCTTGATGGCGTAAGGTTGATCTGAGAGGGTTCGCGATGCCTTGTTCTCTGTTCTCTGTCAAGTTTTAGGAATCGGTGCTGACCTCCGCTGGCCTCTGCACCGATGCATGTCAAGCAGCCTTCTGCTCAGGTATTTTTGTGCTTTCTCAGAGCTTATCGGGGGCCAGTCCTGGCAAGACTGTGCGAAAGCTGCACTGGCCGTGCAACTCTGTGAAGGCAGATGCTGCCGAAATGGAGATGTTCTACTCACCAGCGAACCTGAAGAGGCTTTGCTTCTGTTTCCTGGCGCCTTGGAGAATTGCTTCCAGTTATCACTACTGTTCCTTTGTCTTCTTCGTATGACTTTCCGCTCATGGTCACATCCTCACAAGTTAGATGCTGCGAAGTGGAAGCTCGGTCTGCTGTGTACAGCCCTTATGAGTCGGCCTGGCCCAGTTGAGAGCTTTCCTGCAAGCATGGTGACAATCTTCATGAACACTGCGTAGTAGTGTTACAGTTCATGCTGTCGGAAGAGTGATAGTCACGGCGAAATCTTGGCATTTGAGAGTTACGTGCCGGGTCTGCAGCGAGCAAGGGCCCGGGACAGCAGCCGAGGCCCTGAACACTAGCATGATCCTTTGGGGGATCGCGCAGGACTGCTTGGGATGCAGGTTGGGGTCCGTTTGGGAGTTTAGGCTAGCCATGGCAAGAGACCATTCAGCGGACGTGTGCCCTATCTTCAGTCCCAGCCTTGTTTGGTCGGGCCTGTTGCGTCCATGTGCCGGGGCCCGAAGTTCTCGCCTTCGATATCTCCCGTTTGTAGGATACCCTCCCTTTGCACAGGAAAATTGAGCAACACTGAAGTTGCACCTTGAGCCCAGCCAGATCAGCTTACAAAGACCCAGCCAGACGAGATTCTCTTGTTTGATTGCGTTGATCGTTGCGGGTGGAGGAGTTCATCATGACCAATGTGTACGTTGGAAGAAATGGCGACAATCTGCAGATTCCCAGTGCATTGTTCCTGGTGCTGTGCAATCGAAGCCTGTCACTGCATGGATGATTGATAATGCCTTTGGAGCATGCCAAGAACGGCTTTCAAATGTTTTCAAGTTATTCTGTCAACCTGTTCATGTGCCCGGGCACCCATGCACGTGCTCAGGAGCATCAGCGGCCATCTTCTCAGCTCTTATCCTCACCATTCGGCAAAAGCAGCTATTCTTTGACGGCTGTATCGACTCGTTGCCACCAGCGGCTGCTCGACTGTAGAAGAAAATGAGCCGCGAGGCTTCCTTTTCAGTGCCACGCATGTATTGCACAGGGACGCGGAGGAAAGGAGCTCAGCAGACGGTTAATGTACCACGGGGAGTCAGAGAAGTGTTGGCGCCCCACCATTTGCGTTCGCTGCCTTTACGTAGAAGCCTTCGAGAAAGTTCTCCTTAAATGCGATTTGAGCTTCTCTGCTTCTCCCGGCCGGGTCGCCGCGCTATGTGCAGATTGTCAGGTGAGCAACAGCCTCGCTTCGTGGTGTCAATACTCTAGCCTGAGCCCCGGCTGAGCCCTGTTGAGCTGTCGCGCATGGTGTGTGGAGTCGGAACAAGCCGGACCGAGCTTGGTGTTTCCATCTCTGAGGTCTTTCCTACATTTCATTTGGATTGCAAACGACAGCGAAGAGTACCAAGATTCTTCCAGTAGCCACTTGTCTGCCTTTCGGTTTGGATGGGACATGTGGGACATGTGGATTGTGATGCCTTGTAAGCAGCGCATGCGACCAAGGTCATAATAAGCTCTCTTCGAGGGAAGCTGCACTCTCTGACTGACTATGCAGAGTGCATCGTGTTGACGGCATCCTGCTTCGTCTTTGGCCACGAAAGCGAGACTGCCTTCGACAGCAGCACAACATCAACAGGACTGGAAGCCGTGTGCCTGTGGGCTTGCCTGAGGCAGTTCTTGCAGCAGGGAAAATAAACAACAAATGGGACAATTCGGAACAATATCAGGCCTCACGCCATTCCTAAGTCGTATACTCGCAACATCTCTTGCGTGGATCCAAGTCCAAACAGGTCCAGCGTCCAAATGCCCACAAGCGGTCGACCTCAATTGTCACCCAACTGAGTTTGAATTGCAGGAGCTCTCAGAATTTTCAGACTTCAGATAGACTGTGACAGGGCAGGGCGGGCTTGAGCATGTGCAAGGACTTATCCTGTTGACCATCTACATCATGTGCGATTCGCTGACGCCTCATCTGCAAGATGTCCTCTTCCTCAAGCACAAGGTTTCGGAACGCACACAGCATACATATTTATATTGTATTAAATGATATATACTGTATATTCTGTATGTATGCCGTATACTTGGCATGACTATATTATATTTCGTTATATATATATATATGTCTATATTCTATTGAAATTTATTTCCTATTCTTTAGAGTATTCTACTGTGCGATGTTATTTCAGTGTGTGTTATTATCTTCTGAAACATTTCATTAAGATTTTATGCTATACTTCATTACACCATGGGATATTACACTATATTACGTCATGTCATATGATATTTCTTACCATTGTCGTAGCGCGTCGTATCGTATCGCAGATTAGAGTATAGCCTCTTACTTCATTTCATATTTTATCACATTCTCATTATATATTGCGTTATGTTATATGGCATGATATCTCTAGATTACATTTGTCGTATTCAGTTTTACTTGATGATGCCATACGACGTTTCATTATGCTTTTTACATCAAGTTACGGAATAGTATGTTATGTTGTATTGTAGTAAGTTGCATTACAACACACTTTCTTAATATAATGTTTGATTTCATTTTCTTATAAGATATCACGTGTTTTTTATTCTCTTATGTTATATCGTATTATTTTACATTCTATTATATAGTATTATGTGGTGCTAGCTTATACGGTATAGTGCTAGATTTTATAGATATAGGTGCGTATGCATGCATGCATGCATGCATGCATGCATGTATGTATGTATGTATGTATGTATGTATGTATGTACATCGGTATGTATGTATGTATGTATGT